CAACAAGAAGAAAGAGGATTACGTAATCATCTCACCATCAGTAGGGACAAAGACCCAAATAAACGACGGAGGAAGAGTTACTTTTGAAATTAATTCGTTGTCCAATTGGTTGCTGCTTTCCGATGCCCATTTCCGATGCGATTTCAAAATCAAAGACGCCGCTCAGAATCGAATTCCACAAACCAACACGACTTTAGAAAACAACTTCTTTCCGTCTTTATTCAGCGAAATGGTTTTGGAAGCTGGTTCAAATCCGATAGAGACCATAAAACACCCCGACGAGTTCGACACAATGTTGAAAACGGTTCTGTATCCCAAAAACTACGATTCAGTTTCAGGATGGATTCCCGATGTCGGTAACGGAGAAGTTTTAAAAGAACCGGTCAGAACTGTGGCAGATGACGCAGACCTTGCTAGGATAAGGGTAGTTGCTAGAAACACACTGGAAAGAGTGACTCGCGGAGTAAATCACGGATTTGAAAAACGAGCGCTTCAATACAACAATGTTGTTGAGAACAACAGATGGGGTAATTACGTAAATTGGAAGTTGTATCCTTTATTTGGTCTCTTGGAACACAGAAAGGTTTCCATAGGTTTACCGTATAAAATTCATTTGCAAAGAGAAATCAACGACAACAAGATATTCTTTGGTGAAAACAACTAGAAAAAATTAGAAATAACGAATATCCAACTTTACATACCGGTAATCACTCCTTCCGTAGAAGTGGAAACGAGAATATTCAACTCTTTAACCTAAGACATCGAAATTGCTCTTCTTCATCGTAACACGGTAGGTAGCATGACTTTAACGGGAGAATCCACCACGTGGACAATCACCAACACCGTCAAACCAGCGAGATATCTAATGGTCGGTTTCAAAAACTTGCCAGACTCTCAGACAAACAACAACAACATTTTCAGAGTGGCATTGGACCATACTCAAGATCCCATCATTCGCAAAGTTCAAGTCAGATTGAACAACGATAATTATCCCAATCAACCTTTGACAATTGATCCTTCCAAAAAAGATTACAACAGCTGTCAGCTCATCAAGAAGATCTTTTCAAAACAGGGGTAAACATAAATATTCACATCGATAAAACACAAGAAGATGTAACCGGCTACTGTTTATTGCTGGAAGAAGCAAAACATTTGATTAAAATATCAGATAGAAGAATGATAAGAATTGAATAAAAAAAGACTCTTTAAAAATGAAACCAGAAACTTTAGTTATGAAAATAATAGAAGCTATGGAAACGAATTCACCGACTCTAATAACTTACAACGGTAAAAAAGTGCATATAACCCAAAAGATTATCGATAAATACAAACATTGCAAAGTCAGAGACGATATAGACTTGGAAAGAATTGATGAGAATTTAACTAAAAAAGGTGGATTTTTACCTTTCTTACCTTTAATCTTTGCTGATTAGCTGCAGCTGGTGCAACTGCTGGTGGAGCTGCTGGGATAGCCAAAACTGTCAACGATAAGAAAGCTGAAGCCGCTGCAAACGCCGAAGCACGTAGACACAATTTGGCAATGGAAAGAGAAGCACGAGGAGGTTCGGGAGTAGGAGATATATTAGGGACGGTTAAAGAATTCGGACAAAGATTTGGCGAAGAAACCAAGAAAACCGTTAAAGAGGGATTAAGCAAATTAATAGATAAAATCGACACTGGAGAAATGAAGGTCAAACACAAGGGCAACGCCATATTTTTTAAAAACATACGTTCGGGCGAGGGAATCTTCCTTTGAAAGTATAAAGGCAACGGGGTGATTTTTGATACGAAAATGTAATAAATAAAAATGGGCAAGAAATTCAAACATTCGTACATATTTCCTAGTAACCCAATGCTCATGTGCATTTGCGGTAGTTCAGGTTCTGGGAAAACTCATCTCACTTTTAACATGTTGACAACACCAAACCTTTTAGATTTCAATTCTCTGTATATCTACACAACAACACCAGAGCAATCGTATTATCAATTCCTATTATTTACCAAAGAAAGACGTTCAAGACATATTTCAATATTACGAGGGAAACGAAGAAGAAGTGGAAATAAAAGATATCATAGAAAACTTCATTAAATCAAAGAATCCATCTTTCAATCCAACGGATATAAAAGTTTTTCTTACGAAAAATGTTAATGATCTAGACTTGTCTAATATTGATAGCAATCGAAAGAACTTAATATTGTTTGACGACTGCGTAGCGCAAAGAAATCAAACTGTTCAACAAGAATTCTTCACCAAAGGAAGACATCACAACTGTCACTGCATATACCAATCCCAATCCCAATCTTTTTACGGGATGGATTCTATGTTCATTAGAAAAAATGCAAATTGTTTTTTATTATTTGAATTAAACGATAAAGATTTATCTCAAATCATTCAGTCTATAAATCACGGAATGGATAGAGATACATTTAAAAAGGTTTGTAAAGCTCAACGGAGAAACCCAGATGATCATGGATATGTATTTGTAAATACTAGAAAACCTGCGGGAGAAAGAGTTATGATCGATATATGTTAATTTTATTTTTTTAAAAATGACGGATTGGAATAATATTTTAAAAAGAAATAGAGAATATATCAAAGCTAAGAATAAAATAAAGACCCAAGTTGAAAAATACAAATTACAACAACTCGGATTAACGGAAAATCTAAAACTCTATTTCAACCCATATTAAAAAGTCAAGAAGATATTAAAAAGAGACTCGTTATAGAACCCACCCCTCATATAGAACCCAAACCGATTGAATATAATGGTATTATAATTAGGACATTAGATGATATAAAACGTCTTTTTTCAAACCCTGACCCAGATTTACCAAAGAGCATTTCACCAATCATTGATGATGAGGGTTTGTTGTTTAATGGTTTTAGAATAAGATTTAGTGGAAATTCACCACAATTCAAAATCGATACAAAAGATTACATATACACATTAACGAGAGGATTAATAGATTTAATGAATGGCGAGGATGTTGAAATTGCCGATTACAAGGATTTAGTAGCATACTCAAAATTTCTACATGCGATCAGAAAGTCAGGACCCGAAACAAGAAGATTGAAAGAAGTTGATTTATATATAACAAAAGTTATTGAGCAAGAGGAGGTAGATGATTATGCAGAAGATTATCCACCAATCATACAAGAAATAGACGAATTCGATGATATGGTGGCATCTGAACAAGGTATAACGTTTTTATCCGACAACAATAAAGAATTGCTTAATAGATTAGAAATAATATTAGCGGCCATGAAGGAAGGTCATCGATCGGACAGATAATACAACGAAGTCAATGGCATATTAAAACGGCTTTTAGAGAAAAAAATCATCACTAAAAAAGACTATATAAATGTCATTAAAAATGTCCAATAAAGAACAATTGTTCGTTATCACCTCGAATAAATCAGACATCAAATTGTCTCTAGACTACGAGTATGAACTCGATCGCAATAAACAGTACGAACTGGGATTAAAGTATTTCTCCGTTTACAATTCCATTAGAAACATCAACGAAAAAAACAATCAACTAAAAATATCGACGGATAACGGATTTACGTTCAAAACCATATGCTTACTAGCGGGAAGCTACGAATACGTAATCAACGATTACCTATCCGAATACGCAGGAAGCGTGAACGGCAAAAACAATATCGAATTCGAAGGTAATTTGAATCTGAACCAAATAAAACTGATCTTGAGAAATAACAGTCAAGTCGATTTCAACGTAGAAAATTCGTTGAATGCGTTACTAGGGTTCGATAAACGAATATACGCGCAATCGACATTGGCGCCGCACAAGGCCAACATCGAGAACGACATCGACGTGATCAACATTCACTGTAATTTGATCAACGGTGGATTTTTCAACAAGCACAAACGCCAAATCATATACAGCATACTGACTTTTACGGTGCCGATCGGATACAGAATTATAGAGAAACCGTTTCAAACGACCTATTTACCAGTCAATTCTTTTATGATCAAATCTGGAAATCAAAGACGGTAAAACAGGTTCATAGACTTTGGCAACGAAGAAATTGTCATTCAACTTCATTTAAAACAATCTTCATTCTCTTCTTGATTAGAAAGATAATCGAAATCATCAAATTCATAGTTTTCGTCAAAACTATACTCATCTTCGTCATTGTAAGGATACATAATTCCTTCACTGTTTGGTGGTTTTCTTTTAACATTATTCAAATAACTTCTAAAAACTTTAGTTTGTTTATCATTTGGAATAACTACTCCATTGGTGAAACTTTTTTCCCATGGTTTATTAAATTCGTTCGACACATCATGTCCGCTTGCTAACTGAACGTAATCTTCTACACTTATCTTATCATTAGAATAACCTTTAAACGTTTTCTTTTCTTTTAAAACACCATCAGAAGTCAAAACGATGTTGTATTTGACTTTTGGTGCTAAATATAAACCAAATATAATTCCACCGTCACCGTAATCGTTTTTACCTTTGCAATAGTCTTTTTCGGAGACCAAACCAGCTCT